CTCCCAAGGGAACTATGTTATCGCCTTGTATAAAATCACTGTTTTTCACTTGAGCTAGGAGGCCCTCTATATACCTGGTGTATTCTCCTTTGTGACTTCTCTTCCCTTTTCCCGTTCTTTCTCTTTCACTTCATCAAATCATTGTCAACAACATTGACTCAGTTGAGGGACCTTGAAGCATCAAGCTTCTTCAGCCTCTGGGCTTTGCCCAGGGTGTTTTCTTTCCCTGACATTCTCTGCCTTCTGATGAGATTCTGTTCCCTCTCTCACTTTGCTGTCAGCTCAGATGTCATCATTGGGCAAGACCACAGGGCAATGGTGTGGTCTTGGAACTACCTTTCCTAACCCAGCACTCTTCTGGCCACTCAGGGTTGTCTTCATTTTCTGTTCTTTTTTCATTTCATTTGTTTTTGTAGTTCTTATCAATGCATGAGATATCACTATGTGTATTTTGTTTTCTGCTCTCCCTCCTCTGTACTCTATGCCACTTGATGGCAGGTCGGTATTTGTTTGGCTCATGAAGGGTAATATCCAGCACAGTGTAGACACTGCGTCACTGTCACTGTCCTCACGTTGTTCATCGATTTGCTCGAGCGGGCCCGGTAAAATTGTGAGACTTGTTTTTACTGTGTTTGGCATATCAAATACATCACAGGTAGCTTGCCAGGCTTTTGCTGTGCAGGTGAGATACTATCAGTAGCTTGCTGGGCAATCCAAGAGGGACGGAGGAATCAAACTCAGGTCGGCCATGTGCAAGGCAAATGCCCTACCCGCTGTGCTATCGCTCCAATCCTGACACTGTGTAAGTATGATTTTATTATTGTTGAAGTACAATATTTAAAAATTAATGCTAAAACTAAAGGTTAATTAGTAACAAGGACTTCTAAGTGGTTTGAGAACAGTATTTATCTTGAGAGTTTTATTTTAATTTCCTGCCTTCATATAGGAATCTTGAACATCCAAAGATACTAGGGATACATTCGAGTTTGAAACTGGTGATAGTTGTGATAATAATTATGACAGGTACCATGGTTCAACTTTGATAGTCTTGAGAGTGAGAGAGTGTTTGTGGTTCAATTCTGAAGTATAGAATATGGCAGAAGTGGCACTGTTTTATAGTTCCAAGATGTCAAGATCACAGGAATCTTGTCTTCCTCCTTTATCCCTGAGATCAGTCTGGTTATTAGATTTCTGGTTGTCAAAATGGAGGCAGGTGGCCCAGGGGACATGCCCAGGAATTCAGTCTGACACAATGAAAACCATCTCTGCCCCCACTAGCTTTCCTCGCATGATTTCAGACATTAGATCAGTTAGGTTCTACAGAAGAACTGCCGAAGTTTGGATTGATTAACTCATATCTTGGATTTGGGCAAATAGATGAGAATGGTAGGAGGACCATCAAACAGTCCTCTGGAAAAACTCAGTCAGCTAGCAATAGAGGCCTCCTCCGACATTCAGGTGTGGGTATCACGTGGGAAGTTGATCCTCCAGTCTCAGTGAACAGACTAAACAGACCATCAACCAGGACCGCCTTGCTAAGCTGATCCCAAATCCATAGCCTATAGAAGTTGAGCTAAGAAATGCTTTTTGTCTGAAGTTATTGAATCTTAGGACTATTTGGTTGTGCAGCGATTTATAATAAGTACATGTAGCCATGAAAGGACAGAGAGTTTGAGAACCTCAGAGCACACAACTAGTAACGATGATGCAGAAACTCGGATTTCAGTGGTCTGACTAGTGTCCACACGTTCACCCATCATACCCTACGGGAGTGCAAGATCACATCTCAGATCAGACCAGAAGTCTAGAGCCACATTCTAAGGCCATGGTGCGGCAGTGACTATGGCTATGCCTTGGCCATTCCACAAGATCTTCTTGCTCAGTTGCAAGACCATGTTCTAGGAAGCCTCTGCCTGTGCTTCTGAGTTCCCTTTCTGCCTCAGCCTCATTCTGCCAGATAGAGGGCATCTCTCCACCTTTCCTTCCCCTTTTCCTTTGGGCTCCTGCCAATCAGATAATTCCGGTAAAGCTCTTTAACCATTTCTGCCGGAAGTTGGCAGACCGTGGAGCACTCTAGTGATAGTAAATGGACATGCAAAAACTTATGATTTATATGAGCCAACCAGGGCCCTGCCCTGGGATTTAGAAGTGCTGTATTTTTTTTTTTTTTACACCGAGATGGGGTGAGCCAGGTACCATATTTTCAGCTTCAGGAGAAGGAAATCTGTCCAATGGGAAGGAAGCCACCAGGGGAAAGAGCAGCATGTGAGCGAGGCCATTGTCTGTCTTTGGAGCTCTCGAAGCCAGACAGTCCATCTTTCTGATCTGTGAAATTCAATGGCTTCTCTCCGTTTTACCTTTTGAGTTCTCATCACTTTGAGTTGTGACTAGAGGAAGGATCTGGCCCTAGTTTGAGGAACACAGCAGGTATTTTCCATCCTCCCCGAGTACAGCTGGTTCTGTAGCATCTGGAGGACAGGAGTGTCCTCGTGCATGGGTCGGACTGACCTTCCCACAGAGGCTGAAGGTGTCCCTTCATTTTTTTCCCCGGAAATGTCTGGCTTTTCCAAAAGCCATTGATGGTCTCTAGGGGTGAGCTCAAAATAAGGTTCTGATGGATGAATGGGTCAGTCTCTCCATTTAAAAGCCCCCTCTCAGTCTCTCGGTCTCTTAGTCTCTCTTATCATCTCTGCATCCTTCTTTCCTCGGCTCTCACCCCCTCCTCCAATTCCGAACACGCATTCGCAAACACATCCTGTTAGTCATCAGGTCCTGTTGATTTGGATCAAAAAACTTTATGGAAGTAGGTGGAGTAACCATAATGAAAGTCTGTGGCCAGCGGCTTCTTCCTACTGAACATCCTGCAAATCCAGTTTTTCTTCTTCTCATGGCCACCACCTTGGACCACTGCAGCTGGGTCTTCCAGCCTCTGACCTTAATGCCTGCTGCCTTTCTTCTCTATCTTCTAGAACTTTGTTCTCTTAGGCAGACTTCTGATTGTGCATACTTTTGATGGAGTCAGAGATATTCAGATTTCCCACCACTAACTTGCGCGATTGTAAGCTGTTAGGTTGGTGTTTCAAGGTGCTCCACAAACTGACCCACATTTTCTAGCCAACGTCTTGTAACCTCCAAGAAGCAACCGCCTGGTCTCACACCCCTCTGGCTGCCGACCACTTTCCCATCCTCTCTCCCCACGCTGAAACAGCACCTCCTTTTCTTCGAGCCCTTGAGATCGAAGATGGCCTGGGCATGCCAGTGACCAGCCCCTCCCGAACAACTGTTGTCTAGACGAGGATTTTCCAAATGCTCGCATTCCTGGGGAGTCTTTGGCCAGTCAAGTTCTTGGTGTTTTCTTAAAACTCCTGATTATATATTCAAATTGGCCGAGCACATTATTTCCAAACCCAGTTTCTTTCTTGTCGTCTACTCCCAAATTACATCCTCATGCGACGGTGGTGCATTTATTCCCAAGTACAAATTAAGGATCATTAGCATTTATTTGGTGACCTACAGATAGAGAACTGCTTATTATTAACATTATTGCAAACCATGACCAGAGGAAAAGTATCCGCAGAAGAGGGGATACAAAACTGGCATGACCATTGCCACAGTTTCTAAGCCAAGCACCCTTCCAGGTTGAGTATGTCCAGGCTCCCTCCGCTCCCCCCCCCACTTTAACTAGAAATCGGTACCAAAGCTGTGGTAGTACAGAGGTAGATGCTCATTGTGCGTCCACTCGTGTCAGGAAGAGTGGGCGAGTCGGTCATCAGCAAGTTCTGCGGGAGGAGGAAGAGTTTTCCAGACGGAGCCAAGGTGGAAGGACATTGCAGGGAGTGGGAACAGCATATGCCAACGGGTGTGATCTAGCAAGAGCCAGGCGGGGGAAAACACGGCCCAGATTCTCTGGGCTTCTTATTGAACTAGGGAGATTTGGTGACTGGGGGAACCCGGACCACCTCGAGGGCTGGTCACACCCCGCTGGCTCCTTTGCGGTCCACAAGGGCAGGAGTGGTCCCGATTCCGCCACAAAGAACCATCTCGGTGGAATTCTGGGCCGGTCACTTCCTGCACACCGAGATCGTCCCTCGAATGCTATCCCCGTGGGGGGTTCGCCCCTCTCCGACGTGCGAGGACAAGTGGCTCCCGGGGTGGGGCGAGGGAGCGGGCGGTCCTCTGCGTCGGGAGCAAGTGACCCCCGCCTTGCCACTTCGGAGGCACCTGCCTTCCCAGGTGGCCCTCGGCGCCCCACGGCCGGCCGGAGGGACAGAAGGAGCGGGTGGCGCCCGGGGAGCCCGTCGGGGGCCCCGCTGGGTGACGGGGTCTGATGCGCCCTCGCGGCCGGCTGGTCCTGCGGGACCCCGCGCCGGGGGGACTCGGGCGCGCGTCTGCGGGCGGTGCGGGCGGGCTCCCGGGGGGCCGGCGGGTCCCTCCTCCCCCCCCCCGGGGGTTCCTTCTTCCCCGGGGGCCGCCACCCGCGCCCGTCCAGGGGCAGGGGCGAGGCCGCCCCGAGGGGCGCCGATCGCCCGGGGCCGGGGGCGTCTGCGCCGCGGGGGCGGGGGCGGGCGAGGGTCCCCGCCGCCCTTTACCTGCCTCCCGGCCGTCCCCTCGCGGCCCCGGGCCCCCGCCGGCCGGGGGAGGGCAGGGGGCGCCGCGGGCGGGCGGGGCGCGGCCCCGCGGCCGCCCCCGTCCCCCCCGCCGCGCGCCCGCCCGCCCGCCCGCCCGCGCCGGGGGCCGGGCCGGGCTCCCGGGGGGCGGGGACTCGCCCAGTGGCCGCGGCGTCCCGGCCGGCGGCGGGCGCGGGGCGGCTTCCTGCAGGCGGCGCCGGGGCGAGCCGGGCCCGCTGCAGCAGCGCCGGCGGCTGGGCGGCTCGCGGGGCCCGCGGCGCTCGGGGCCGCGTCGGTGCCGCCCGTCGCCGCTGCCCGCGCTCGTGCCGCCGCCGCCGCCGCCGCCGCCGCCGCCGCCGGTTACGCCGGCCCCGCCGCCGCCGCCGCCGCCGCCGCCCGCGCCGATTCTGCGCATAGGCAGCCCCCGAGCCTGTCATCCTGCAAAAACACAGTTTACTCAACACGCCGCACACACGCGCACCCCCGCGCGCACCCGCGCCGCCCGGGCCCCGCGCGCGCCGCCGCCGCGAGCCAAGTTCCGCAGCCTGGCATGGCTTCGGGGGACCTTTACGAGGTAGGGGCCGGCGGGCGGCGGGCGGGCGGGCCGGGCGCGCTTTCTCTTTCTCTCCGCGCGCCCCGCGCCCCGCGCCCCGCGCCCGCTCGCGCTCCCTCTACTTTGCGGCCTGGGAGGGGAAGGAGGAAGCCGGGCGGCGCCGGCCGGCGGCGTAGCGGTCCCGGGGAGCCCCGCGCCCCGCCGGCCGCCCCGAGTGCGCAAAGTCCGGGGAAAAGTCGGCGCCGGACGCGCCGGGGACGCGGGGGGCCCCGCGCGGCGGCCGCCGGGGGCGCGGGGCGCGGGGCGCGGGCCGGGGGGGGCGCGCGCGCGGCCCGGGGCTGGGCCGGGCGCGGCGGGGCGCCCCCGGGAGGCGGGGGCGGCCGCGGAGGGGGGCGGCCGCGGGGGGCTTCCGGGGGGCCGACCCCCGCCCCCCCACCGCACCCCGGCCCGGGTCTCCTCCCCCCCCCCCCACCTGCTGCCCCCGCGGGCGGCGGCGGCGGCGGTGGCGGCTGGGGAGCCCTCGGAGCCGGGCCGGGGGGCGGGCCTGGCGGGTGTCGTGCCCCCCGGGGGCGAGCGGGGGCGCTGCCGAGGCCCCTGGGCGCGAGGAGGTGGGAGGTGGCCCCGAGCATGTGGCCGGGAGGACCGGGCCGTGAGCCCCGCTCGCGACGCGCGGCGTCCACCCCGCCAGCCCTCTCCTGGGTGGATGCCTGGCCCCTTGGCCCCCCGGGGCCACGCCGGTCGGGGCCAGCTCTCCCGAGGGGCCCCGGGGACTCAGGAGAACAATGGAGCGAGAGCCACGGCCCCCTACCCCCGTGCCGGGACCCCCCAGCTCTGAAGACCACGGGCCCGCTCAGGGCGTCCCAACAGCTGGACACAGACAGAAGCGATGCCCTTGCACCCAGGGGAGAATGCCCCGCACGGGCCTCGGGCCCACGAGAAGGCGCGGCGCAGAAGAAGCCAAGGGGTCCGTCACCGTAGGCCCGGAGACCTGCAGACCCTCCCGAGACCGTGTCAGGGGGCTGCCCCGACCTAGGGCCTCGCCGAACAGAAGTCGGTTCACGCAGGCCCTTGGCCTCAAGACTCTCAGCCAAGTGGAGTTGAGCACCTCAAAGGTGGAGGTAGACTCCTGGGATGCCCATGACAGACGAGTCACACACTTTCCTTCTGGACGCTCCGGACAGCTGAAGCTTCTTCAGACGCTGGTTTTGCTGGTTGGCGGGAGAGAAGAAGAATGGACAGTAAGCCCGGTCATCACGGTGCCTTGCTGGGCCGCCAAGGTCTTCTTGGATGATTCTGGATGTGGAGAGGTCCCCTCCTGGGCCATTAGCCAGCTGGCCCTGGTGGCATGGATGGGTGATCTTAGCATTCCTTGAAAGAGTGACACCAGTGGACTTCTTCTCCACCTTATGCGAAGAACGATGAAGCTGTGTTGAGCCTTGGCCATGAACTGGGCCGCCAGTGGTGGCCGATGGGCAGTGCAAGCATCTTCTGTCTTCTTCAACATGGTGGAGCAGTTCCTGAGCCCAGATGTTGGCCGGAGCGAAGTAGGATGTCTCATGAAGCTTTCCAAAGCATCACTGGCAGGAAGACGTCCCTGGCCCCACAGAGATAATTACCAGGAAGGGTCCAAAGCTCAAACGGTTGGGAGACATGGATTCCCCCCCACCTCCTGCTCATCCTGTTCATTGATATTGAGTCATCTTAGAGCTGTTGGCCTTTTGGGGTGAAACATTGCATCTTTGAGGTCTTGGGAGGATACCTCAAGAGTTGTCAGTGTTTCTCCATCACAAGTTTGGAACTTACGAATCTTTAGGGACAGTTTCTTGTTTACTGTTCACCTGAAAGTGTCCTCCTAACCACGGGTAATTATAACTGCCGGATGCGTCTATTAAGAGGGGAGTTTTCACACTGGCCTTGGAACTGTCTTAGCACCTCGAGTTCTTATTGAAATTCAATAAACAAGACAATAATAATAATTACTTCTGTGATAGTAGGTAATTGTACTAGATGTAAAATAGTTTTCCCGTGGTTGGTTATTTGCATAGTCATTGCTAACAGGACTAAATTGCATTAAGAGAATATAACAATGTCAACGTTTTTATAGCTGGTGTCGACATTACATAACGTATACCAAGGAATTTAATATGTTGTTTAAATTTAGCTTGAAAACAATTAAAAAGTGCTGGCTAAACATTAGCATATATATTTCTAACTGTAAAATTGTTGGGCGTGTATAAAAAAATGGATGCCGATTTAAGGACAAATCTTGGACTATCTAGTACGTTGGTGACCTTGAGAGGAAAAAAAAGAAAACATATTGTACTCCACTTTAGGATTACATTAAATATTATATATATGGCTTCTTGTAACTTCTGACCAAGAACACTATAATTGAGATATTTGTCTGCTGACTTTATCCTTGACCCTTAATGGATCGCAAAGAATCCTCATCTCTTTGGTGGTTTAAACATTTACCCTGTAGCGTAGCCTTCTCTGGGCAGCATTTTTGAAGGACTGGGTGCTGATGTTAAAGATACCCAAAAGAGAAAACGTTGCTTAATGCAGCGGCCTCCCGACTCAGAATAGAGAAATGGGGAATCAGGTGCCATTTCCAAGATTTTGGATCTTGTGGTAGGTTGGTTTGCTTTGTTTCTCTGAGAGCAGAGTTCTCACCACCTTCTGCCATGTTGTAACATCATCTGGAGCAAGGTGAGCTGGAGTTGGCCTTCTTCTTCGAGTCGGGTATCTGGAGAGAAAAGCAAATTCCCTTTCCATATGTTCTGGTTTAGCTGCTGCTGAGCAGAAGGGTCATAAGTAGTATGTGAGCCAGGGCTAGGTTCTCCATGTGCTCTGTCGTGTCGTCAGGGTAGAGAAGAGAAGTGGTTTTGCATGCTTTTGGACAGGGCAGGTCACCTCTACTTTGTTACTGTCTCCGTGCGTCTGCCACCCTGGTGCCATGCTTTAGCATTGGGAAACCCAGTGTGCTAGCCACTCATTTGCTGGAAATGTTTGGGGTTGGGGAGACATAATCAGCGGAACAAGAGCCCAGTTCTCTTGTCTTGTCATCTCCCGTGCTCTAGTTCCTTATGTGAGCCATTCGTTGTTGACTGAATTATGGAACAGAAGCCTGGGTCAATTATATATGAAGGGCCTTGGTCAGTTTTGCTCTCTTTGGTTTGAGTGTCATCTCTTGTTTCTTCTTCCCCCCACCCACATATGATTTCTCAATGGTGATCGCACCAAAGGGAGATGTGGTTCCCAGTTCTCTAGGCGGAAGTGTGGTCCAGTCCCTTTGCAGAGAAGGGACTCATGAGAACAATAATTATTTGCGTCTGAGTTTCAGCCATATGGCATTCTACATGTGGCTGTGGGGTGGTTATTTACTTGTTTATTTATTGAAGACGCCCTCCCTGGTTATACGCTGACCTTGAGAGGGAGGCCTCCACTTTTATTGACCAAAATGTCCAATAATGCTGTTTATAAAAGGAAGTAGAGGACATGTTGAGATGTATCGAGATAGACACTTGATAGTGATGGTTCCTTGTGTGTTTGTCAACAGCTTATATTTCCCCAGTTTCTGTCTTAGGAGCATGAGGTGTGATGTTTGTTTTTCACTTGGGGATTGGTAGGCATCAGTACATACCTGTCTAATGTGTGTGATCGTGTGCATATGGTTTTTCCAACTGTATATAGAAAGCTCTGTTCCTCTCGTTCTAAATAAAATAAACAACTCAAAGAGTGGGATTATTTCTAGTTCATCGGGAGAAGTTGAGTTAAAAATGATGGTGATGAACACAGTATTCCCGTGATTGTACCAGGGGTTCTGTAGATACATGCTCTAAAAATAACAGGATATCTGGGGAAACCTGGGCACGGACCATGCAAAACCTCAGGAACTTTGTCAGAAGGAACAAATCCAAAACCAAATAAACAAAAACGAAGTTAGTTAAATATCTCCCCGGCTCATATTCGCATTTTATCAGTCAATCCACCCAGGGGTTTTACAGAAAGGTCCACCTTTACCATTTTGATTGGTAGGTGGCAGCTCTGCCAGGCGGGCTCACTTGGTGGGCAGCATGGTGGCTCTTGAAGCCATCGCCAACCACGAACCCTACTGATGGCAAGCAGACCAACTCTGTCCTGAGGTCTTTTTACATTGTCCAGCGTTGCTCTTTCCCTGGGAGAGCACCTGCTTATGTTTCAAAACCATGAACAAACTCGGAAAGATGACATAAGCATCACGAGTTTGGTCTATAACAATTTGTCGCATGCATCTTTTCTCCCAACCACTAAGATGGGAGTAAACTCAGTAAGATGAGGTGGTTCCTATCAAAGGAAATGGTAGGAAGATGGCCGCTGGCTGAACATCTCGAATCCCTATACCAGTATTTCAAGAGGTAGAAGCTTCAAGAGGAATGGATTTGTTGAGTTGATCAGCTCCCTGGGCATGTGGGAACTACAGAATAAAAGAGAATGAGTTGCTCTGCCTTCTACCTTTTGAGTACCACTTGAAATGATCTCCCGTGGGAAGGATATTTATCCATTTCAGAATCTTTTTATACTTTAACATATTCCTTGCTGTACGTGACCTTTTCTTTAGGGCCTCAGCCTGGCCTACCAAGGAGTTTGTGTAACTCCTCACAGCCTGCTCAGGAATGATACCGGGGTGGTAGGCAGTGAAGATCTTGCCTATTGGAGGCATATTTTGATTTCAAAGAGAGTGGTCTTTTCACATCACTCGGATGATGGAGAGAGATCTGGAGGGGGCGGAATTTGTAGCACCACCTTTGATGTTTACTCTAGTGTTTTTTGGAACACACCAGACTCTGGCACTAGCAGGATGATGACGCCCAGGGGGTGAGGTCTGTGTAGCTTTTCTCAACTAGTGCCAGAAGGACCCCTGGGCAGTCCCAGCATTTTCCATGGGGATAACAGGTGAAAGTTGCACCAAAGGAGGGAGACACAGCATAGGATTGGGCGCCATTTGGTAAGATATAGGGGTGGGGGCACCGAGAGGAAAT